GATTGAAGAACAAAAACGACAGCAACTTGTCTGTTCCCCTTCCCCTAATTCCCCAGCACTGTTCCCATCCCCCCAATTACCCAATAAAAATCTTAAAAAAAAAAAAAAAAAAGAATATTTCTCTCTCCTTCCAAGCTGTATGTAATTTTTATATTATTTACATTTTATTATATATACTCATATGTAATATATATATGTATATTTATATATGACGTTTTTATAGACTCCTTTTCTACATCTATAGCCAAGAACTTGAAAGGAGGAGAAGGTCAAGGGTAGAGTCCTACCTTCAGAAACATCCTTAAGATTAGTCAGTACTCTGAGGATAAACCTTCACATATATTTCTAACTCATGTTAATCTTGACTACTTATGTATTATGAGGAAAGTTTCAATATTTTAGAGTTTCAATATAGAGTTCAATATAGAGTTTCAATATCTATAGCGATCTCCTGATTTGGGAGAGAATATGATTAATTTAACTTTAGCATGGCTTGACTACCAGGAACCCATGCAAACTCCTAGTAATTGCAACTTTATTTCCTAAGTATATGCAAGCCACAGTTTTACTAATTCATTCCTGGACTTTGCTAGGAATCAACATCAGACTTACTGATCGCTAATTTCAGGAATCTCAGCTTTCTCTTTTTGTTTACTGGAGCAAATATATTCACCATCTTCTAACTCTCTTCTCTTTGGGATTATTTAGTAATTACTGAACAAAGACTCCAGTTCATCCCACAAGGTCTTTCTAAAGCAAGATTGTAATTCAGGGTCTGGGTACCAGGATTCATTTAAAGCAGACTGGTGATTTCTTCTCAGTCTTGGTCTTCATATTAATTCCCCCCACCAAATCTACCCCACCTTACTATATATATTTTAAAAATTACAAAAGCAATACATGTTCATTGTAACAAGTCAAACTGTAGACTTATAGTTGCCATAGCCGTGAGGTAATCCAGGTTAATAGCTTGGTGTATGTCCTTCCATACATTTCTCCAAATTAATACAAATATATACATATGAAGTTGTTTTTGGTTTTTTTTGGGGGGGTTTTTAACAAAAATGAAATCATAGCATACAACTCTATAATGTTCCTTTGTCATTTAACAATATATCATGAATATCCTGCCTGGTATTATACATACATCGAATTTATTCACTGGATGTTTAATATCCCACAGTATAGATGGTCCATTGATCCTCAAAGTTCAGGAGTGTGGACTGGAGCCAAGGGGGCCTGACCCATTGACATAGCTTGAGAGCAGCTCTGGAGAGGAGTTCTAGAAGCTGTGGAGAGAAAAAGAGGGAGGGTTTCAGCACTATGGCTCCCAATAACTTGCCTATTACTTTTTTTTTTTTTTTGCCTCCACCAATTCTCAATGTTTTAACTGTATCCAATGCCTCGCACAATAGGAACAGTTGTATCTTTGAATCATTTCATTCTAGAGTATTAGGACGAGTCATCTCTGAAGTTAAATAGTTCAATCCTCTTATTTTATAGGTAAAGAAACCAGTAGATCAACTTTTGCTTCCAATGAAGGATCTGTAGAATTCTACTTCTTATTTAACATTACTGAATAAGTTTTAAAAAACTCTGTATGGAAAAATGGTGAGCTTTATAAGACCCCATTCTTTTATTCTTACAAAGCGAGGGGTAGGTAAATGAGGTCTGTACAACATAAGAATAACCTGGGAGTGAGTACAGTTACAGGCTACAGTGACCCAGAGGGCAGGGGGCGAACTGCTGCCTCTAATTACCTGACTGAATGTGGAGCTTTGGCAGGTAGAGGTGTTACCACCATCTAGGGACCCAGAACCTGAGACCCCAGGGCAGCTCCTGCCAGGTCACCTTCAAGGGCAAGTTTTCTGCCCCAAGAATCTTTACGGGTCTTTGAGAAAATTGCTGTTTAACAACACTGACAGCTTCCAAAGTATCTATAGCCATTTCAGAGGGAAAGAGCCTGAATATAGTGCGGTGGTGATCTGTCTCCACTGGAGCAAACTAAGGAAAACAGATGAAGGTCTGGCCACTGCTTACTTATTGGGGGCTGAGAAGCTAGTGTGGGTTTTCTACACCTTTTTTCTGTTCCTTTTGTTGTCAGGGGACTCTGGCAATTGCCACCTTCCCTGGAAAGCCAGACTGGGGGAAATCATGTATCTCTGACAGAGATATATATATATATATATATAGATAGATAGATAGATAGATAGATAGATAGATAGAGAGATTGCTAAATAATTCTACACACATATAAAATAAATATCTTACATTTAACTAGTACTTTACAACTCACAAACTGCCTTTACACATTTTTTGCAGTTACTCCCCACATGGCAACCTGGTAAGACAGACAGAGGCTGCATGACTACCTATTAGTGGGTATTAATTATGTATTAGAGTATTAGTCCTGTTCTGCAGATGGGGAGCTGCTCTCGATGGTGGCTGAGTGGCAGGACTAGAGTCAGATCTCAGAATCATAGCATCACAGAGTTAGAAGGCACCTTAATCGCAAAGGCCAAAGGCATCCTTCTCTCAGAGCCTGAATCGCTTTTAAAAATCTCTGAGAGATTTCTTCTGGTCCCTGTTACTCTTTCAGTGATGAGTAACTCACTACTCTGTGAGGCAGTCCATTATTAATATTGAGCTGAAATCCTTCTCCTTGTAGCTTTCGGCCTTTAATGCACTTCTATCCTCAAGAACTATATCAAATTAAGGCTAATTCTAATTTCCCTCTTTTTAAAACTTGAAGATATTACTCTTGCCCATCTCTTGCAGATTAAACATCTTCAATTCTTTGAACTGTTACAATTATTCATGATGTGATTATCTGGCGCAGTGCTTGAAATATAGTAGATAATCAGTAAATGTTTGTTCAGTTTATTCTCTGGCCTTTGGTACTATGTCCTGGCTCTGACTTCTTTCCCTAACTGCAATTAGCTTCCACATTGTAATCTTTTATTTGTTTATTTAAATAATGGAGAGAAAGGAAACAATATGTAGTTTTTACTTTCAAACCACAGACTTTTCAGAACAAATTGAACACATAATCAAAATTGGCCAAATTTCAGATAACTTTCAATTAATTTGTGATAATGGACTCATTATCTGACTTGACTATTTCAGAGATGCATTCATTGAGCAGCTCCTATAAGCAAGACACCAAAAGGAACATTGTGGAGAGTGTTCATAGAATAAAATGGGAAACTTCTCGTGAAGGCAGGGTTAATGTGGGGTCTAGCTGTAAGACCCTGCATGAATACATTACCTGTCAGTACTGCTTTGCCTGTTAAAAGAAGTAGCATTCATATGTGGTTCAGTTCTGGGCACCTCAAGACTAAACAGTATACTCTCTTCCAAAAAGAGCTCCAGTGGAAGCTCTATTTTCAGTGGGTTTTAAATTGGATTGGCATAAGGGACAAGCACTGGTGTCAATATGATGAACCTGTGTCATTCTCAATGATGCAGAATTCAGCCAGCTTCCTGTCTCATATCTAAGTTGCTGTGCTGGGACGAATAGCAATGAGCTTACAATTTGGGTAACCAAAGAGCCAGAGAATAGATGGTGAATCGTGCTCTGCTTCATAAAGGAAACAATAGTAAATTGCTATCAATCACAAAGGACTATGCTTATGATTACCATAGTAACCCTGGAAGGCGTCTGATGGCAAATAAGTCAAACAAAACATCCAAAACACTATTCCAGAAAGGTATCTCTGGTTTCCTTTATCCCATTATCACAGACTAAACTGAAAAGTGTCTGAAATTTGGCAAATGTGATCATGTTTTCAAGTGGTTCTGAAAATTCTGTGGTTTGGAAGTAAATAATATGTTTTTTCCTTTCTATTGCTTAAACAAACAAATATTTAAAAACCTACTCTCTTTATACTGCAAATACTCGTACTTCAAAAAGTGAGTTATGGGGCGGCCAGTTAGCTCAGGTGGTTAGAGTTCAGGCTCATAACACCAAAGTTGCTGTTTCGATTCCCACATGGGCCATGGAGCTGCGCCCTCCACAACTAGATTGAAGACAACTACTTGACCTAGAGCTGATGGGTACTGGAAAAACACACTGTTCCCCAATTAAAAAAAGAAAAAAGTGAGTTATATTAGTTTTCTCATCTTGAGCTTCAGAAATGGCTGAGTTTGGAAAGGAGCATTTCATATGAGGGTATTAATGGTGGAGGACCTTGGAGATTGACCTCCTTTCACATAGAACATCTGCACATGGTAGGTGATAAACTCTTTGCACAGGTACAGAATGGAGGTAACTTTGAGTCAAGCAGGGCCCACTGCCCAGCAGGGAGGAAAACAGTCAGAAGTCACATGAAATCATACTGAAATGTAGCAGAGAGACTTCATGCTTAGGGGATTTCATACCCCAGACCCATTACACCACTGACTGACTGCTTCCCCTTTCCTCCTCTGAACAACTCATCCTTTGCCTTCTCTCTTAAACCCAAGAGGGCCTTTGGAAGCCAATCGGTCCAACACACTCAAATGAAGAAAGCAAGGTTCAGTGGTTTGCAAAAAGTAGCAGAAAACAGACATAGAAGCCAGGACTTTGGGCTTGCAGTCTGGGTCTCTTTCTTGTTTACCATGCTGCCTGCCTCTGAATGTTTCAGGAAACTCATGCATGAAATGTGTACCCACCTACAGTTGGGAATTTTCACAGCTTCATTTGAGTAGTTTTCTTAATAGGCAGAGTGAGAGGTACTGATCTTGGAAGAGTCAGGATTAAAAACTACATTGCGGGTACAGGGTAGTTTAGGAGGAAGAATAGATAGAGCAAGGCAGGAAAGTGGGGGAAAAGGAAAAGAAGATAATAGATAAATACATGAACAATAAAATGGAGAAGATACAGAGGAAAAATATAAAGAGGGGAAATTAACTGAGAATAAGGAAAGGACATTTTTCTTTTCTTTTTTTTTTTTTAAAGATTTTATTGGGGAATTGGGGAAAGGAAACAGTGTTGAGGAATTGGGGAAATGGAACAGCGAAGTTGTCCTTCAATCTTAGTTGTGGAGGGCGCAGCTAGCTCAGCTCCAAGTCCAGTCGCCATCTGGCCGCCTGTCGGCAGCTTGCAGCTGCTCAGCTCAAGGTGCTGTGTTCAGTATTAGTTGCAGGTGGGTGCAGCCCACCATCCCATGCGGGAGTGGAACCAGCAACCTTGTTGTTAGGAGCACGTCCTCTCACCAGCTGAGGCATCCTGCCATCTGTTGGCAGCTCAGTGGCAGCTCAGTTCGGGTGCAGTTCACTGGCCCATGTGGGAATCGAACCGGTGACCCTGCTGCTCAGAGCTGGCGCTCTTAACCAACTGAGCCACTTGGCCAGCTGAAGACATTTTTCTTTTTAAGAGCAGCAACTGAGGCAACCAGGGGCTGAGCAGAAGACAGAAAGAAGGAAGAAGGAGGGCCGACTGAGTGGCTCAGTTGGTTAAGAGCTCGCTCAAGAGTTTGAGGTCTGAGCAACAGTGGTTCGATTCCCAGCCCGAGCTGAGCTGTCTCTGAGCTGCCAACAGGTGGCAGGATGGCTCAGCTAAAAAAAAAAGAAGAAGGAAAAAGGAAGAGAACAGATAGAATCAGGAAAAGAGAAGAAAACCAGGAGGAACATGAGAACACTGAGAGTTGCTGTGAGTTAAGAGTGTATACAGGTGGGTAGGTGAATTGGAGAGAGAGACCACAGGACATAATCCTCATGTCTGGAAAGGGGTTGGATAAACAGGGAGGTGAATATCAGCACAATGGGAAAGGGGCGATGAGAGTGGACAAAGTGGACACTGCAAATGGAGGAGGTCAACAAAGTGATCTCAGGTGCTAGATAGAGCCTTAGAACGACCCCAGAATCAGCTCAACTGCGGTTCTAGGATACTGGCATCATAGGACATGATACATTCCATATCTATAAAACCAAATATCTAACCTCTTGTCACTCACCTCTCTTGCCTGTTTTATCATTTATATTACTTATGTTTCAAAATATACATTTTCAGCCATTCACTTCGTGTACCCTGGAAACCTTCCTCACCATGCTAGTTCCTCAGGAAATTTGTCAGCACTTCCCAAAGAACAATGGGTCTCTTAGGGCCTTGCCCCAGCCCACACTTGGAAATGCCTTCCAAATAGAAAACTGTGGGATTTTCCTCAGGATAAACCAGTCCTCCACCATGGCTGTGTGGAATCTCAGAAGAAAATGTCACAGCATGTGAGAGCAGGGAGGAGGAACATGAAAACAATTTCCCAGAACTAGTCAGTACAGCCCTTTTGTAAACTCATCTGGTCTATGGGGGAAATCCTGCATGCACCGCTAGGCCCACCCAAGTTGGTGCCCACGCCACCTCACATAGGTGGGCTTTGCAGGGAAAACGTGGCCACTGGATACCCATCCGGTGACAGTAACATTCAGTCAGAGAAGCGTCCAGTCCTCTGCCTGCACCATCAGCACTCTCCACTGAGCGCGAGGAGAGCAAGGTGGGGACATTTTCCTCTCAGGTTATTAGCCTGTATCACAAGCCTCTTTGAAATATGCGATTTTAACGGGCAACTGCACAATTCAGGCTAAATAACAACTGCTTCCTGGAGCTGACTTTATGCCAGCTTCCTGGCAGCAATTGGAAGTAGAATCATGTCAGCTTCTTTTGTTTCCCCTTTAAAAGTATGCCCCAAATAAAATCCCCTTTAGCCCTAGCTATTAGCACAGTCTTGCAAAAACATTTAGCAACCTATCTGCTTGATCAAAATGTCAACCAGCTCACTTTCCAAAATGCAATCACACTTAATGAGGAATGCGTTTTAAAACCCCCTCATGCCTTGCATGCACCTGCAGTGAGTTGCTATCAGTGAGGTGTGGTTAATGCCACTTTCTGGGAGTCCTCTGAGAGGACAGCCTTCATGAACCACTTTTCCTGTCCTTACAAGAGGAGTTAAGGCCACCTGCGGCCAGGAAGGTGTGGCTGCGGCCCTCTGAGTACTTACACAGAATCCTGAGCATGGCCGCGCCCATGTTAGTTCTCCCTCACCTCATGTACTCCCCATCGCTCCTATAATCCATAAGCGATTCTGATCCTGACACCTCCTCAAAATCCTCCAGCACCAGACTGCTGGAGTCCTCACCCAGGACGCCGCTGTCAGGCCGGGACATTCTGGCCCGGGAAGCAGGTGCAGGAGGGTGGGTGGCAGCTGGAAGGGGAGAGCAAGGGGGTGTTTGCAGGACATCTGTGGGTGTGGCCCGAGGCGGGGACCCAGCTGCCTCGTGGACGTCCTCCTCCTCCGTGGACTCCAGCCCTGGATCTGGGGCCGCAGGACCCAGGACATGGTAGAGGCTGGGGAGACGGATGTCAAAGCGCAGCCCAAACTTAGCAAAGAGCTTGTCATTGAGGCCGTAGAGTTTCTCCGAGATGTCATAGCCCAGCAGGGCCGAGAAGAGGCGGGAGATATATCGCTCTTTGGCCAGAAGAAGGTAGAGACTTTTCCGCGGCCAGGAAATGTAGCTGCATGCGGTCTCGGCAGTCAGAGTGACCTGAGAGGGGTCGTGAGCAGAGAGTGAGGGTTTGAACTAAAAAAAAGGTGTCCATGTTTAGCAGAGAGAAACGTACAGTTACTTGTCAAAAGGCTACACTTTTATTGAAGAAACTATGGGATCACTGCCCCCCCCCCCGCACCCTTGGCCTTGCCCAGACGAGGTCCAGCAGTGACTTTTACTTGTGTTCAGTGATGGGGGTGGGTGGGGTGGAGGCCTTGTCAGGGGCCCTGGGATCAGCCATTCACTTACTGGGCCCTCACACCTTGGAGCCTCAGTTTCCAATCTGGTCTCATCTCTCATAGTCTATGGCCCCATGCCTGATAATGTTAATGGCTTCAGAAGGGTCTGAGTCTGTTGTGATTTCGAGAGAAGGTACCTCCTAGTGCTCTGAAGAAAGGTTGGAATGGTGATGACAGCTTGTTTTAAGAATAAAGAATAATAATATATTAAAATAAGGATGCAAAAAGAGCTGGAAAGCATTTCAGTTAGAGAATAGCTTTTGATTAGATATGCCAAGCTGCAGCAAGTGGACAGAACACTAGCCTAGGATTCAGGTCCATGAAGTTGCTCTTGACCCGGCCACAAGTGACCAGACAGATCTGATAACTAAAGTCAGAAAAAGGGCATACGGGAAGAGGAACTGTTCAGAGCACAAAGTCGAGGGGCCGCCCACACTCCACTGATGTAGTCATCTAGGAATTTCTGAGCACTCTCTATGTGCCCATGATGCAAAGCTAAATTACGCTTGCAGGGTAAATAATGTGTGCCCAGCACCCAGTAGATGCTTGATAAATCCTTGTTAAAACAATGATGAGTGGTAAAGCTAGGGTTAAAGTGGAAACATACTTAAGACAGTAAAGGAAAAGGGTATAGAGTCACACGATTTTTGATAATCTATTATAATTGGCCAAAATACTTTTGAAGTGAGATGACTGACAGAGTTCATGAGATGAAGATTTGTGAATGGAGGCAGTGTAAATGATGATGATGATGATGATAACAGCTAATATTAATTGAGAGGTGACTCAAATGCCAGGCATTGTGTTCTTTATTTGCATTATCTAATTAAAGGTAGAGCTGACTTACAAACATTCTTTGTTAGAGATTTTACACAATCCTTTTAGCTCCTGTGTGCCTACCAGATCTCCCACTATCTTCCTCTCCTTCCTCTTCCCCTCTGCAGTAACCCTCCTCCATTTTCTTCACTCATTTCCCCGTCTCCACTTCTCCCTGCCTAATCATCAGCACTGAAGACAAGGCTTTAAATCACCTCATCAAGGCCAGAAGCTAGTTTAAAATTTCAGCTTTACCCTTTACCAGCTGTGTGATATCACACATATTACTTAATCTCTCTGAGCATGTTGCATCATGAAAGGATTCTGAAAGTAGGTAAGTGCTCACAATCTGTCCATTACTAATAGTTTAGCAAGTGGTGGTCACCCTCTGTCATAGCTGGTACTTTAGATGCGCTTACTAACAATTTCCAAAGAACACATCAGAGTACTGAACATGAGGCAGGTGTGTGTAAGAGCTAATCTGGACATAAACACCGTCCTTAGAGCCAAGCAGAAAGACCATGGGCATTCTTAGGAACATGCTATTATTTCTTCCATCTTAAAATAAATCAAAATAAAAAACGAGAATCCTTTTCTTTACCTCACTTCTTTGGCTAGCTATCACTCCATCAATTTGCTCTCCTTTTCAGCAAAACGCCATGAAAACGTTGTCTGTACTTGCTATCTCTAACTCCTCTCCTCTCACCTTCTCTTAAACCAGGAAGTGGTTGCCCCTAGCAGTCCACAAACACTGTTCCTGGTAAGGTCACCAATGACCTCTAAGGTGCAGTGGTCAGTTTTCATAGTGTTTAATCCTGTGACCACTCCCTCCTCTTTTGATACCTTTTCTTTACTTGGTTCCCAGGACGCCATACTCTCCTGGTACAATCTCCTGATTGCTCCTTTTCAGCTTCCTTTGCTGCTCCCTCTTTTACTCTCCAGTTTCTAAACACTAGAAGGGCTTGGTTCTTGAACCCCCTCCTTTGTCTAAGTTCACACACGTGGTGATCTCATCCAACCCAATGACTTTAAATATCATCTGTATGCCAACAACTCCCAAATTTATGTCACAAGCTTAGGCCTCATTTCTTAATTCCAGACTCAGATATCTAACTGCTTGTGTAGCACCTCCATTTAAATGTCCACAGACGAAGCAAATCTAATATATCCCAAATTGAACTTCCTCTCTTCCCCCCAAACCTACCTATAGCCTTTCTTGTCTCAGTTGATAACAGCTTCATCCTTCCAGTTGCTCAGGGCAAAAGGCCGAGAGTTTTCCTTGATCCTCTTTCTGTCACACACTACATCCAATGTATTAGGAAATCATTTTGGCTCTATCTAGAAAATATATGCTCTGGCCCTACATGATGTGGCTTCTCGTCACCTCTCTGGCTTCCTCTCCTGCTATTCTGTCCCCCACCCTCTCTCTGTCCCAGCCACACTGGCCTCCTTTCTATACCTCAAACATGCTAGTTCCTCCCACCACTGGGCCTTTGCACTGGCTGTTCCTTCTCTCTGACATGCTCTTCCCTCAGATATTCACAGAGCTCATACTGTCACCTCCCTCAGGTCTTTCCTCCAAAGTCACCTGCTCAACAAAGACTTCCATGACCTCATTTAAAATTGCAACTTTATCTTCCTTGTACTATTCTATTTTTTAAAATATCAGTTATGATCTTTTAACATATTACATTATTTACTTATTCATTATGTCTATGGCTTATTTTTTGTCTCCCCTACTATCAACATAATAAAATGTAAATTGCCTGAAAGCAGGGACCTTCATCAGTTCTGTTCACTGATATATTCCAAGCACTTTTAACAGTACCTGGTATAAGTGCTCAGTAAATATTATACTGAAGTGAATGAGTGAATCAGGTGAAGACCACCCATTCTGCATGTTGTTAAACAACCTAATGTCACTTTCTCTTGTCCTGTATATAAAATCCTTCCCCAAAAGTTTTTAGGAAACCTGTTTATTGATTGGTTCCCACATACATATGTACATGTCTGTATGTTTGACAAGTTTTTCTTTAATTCTCACCTCAGTTTGTTTGGTTGAATGAACTAAAAGAGATTACATATGAAAAGAAAACTTGGGTCCAGTAAAATTGAGGAAGTGTGATGGAATGTTGTGTCATTCGTGATAAACACAATGAGAATTATGATTCACGCAGTCACTGCGGATTGTCCTCTTAGTCAACAGACGATGTAATTGCAAAAGACAAGGACAAGATGAACTATAACTCAGGACATTTGACATTTGCAAAGAGGAAATTGGACTTTTCACAGCCAATAGCAAAAGTGTGAATGTCATTGCTCCCAAATGAAGTGCACACTAAAAATATAAATGGGGGGAATATGACGGTACCTACATTCCAGGCTGAGAGGCCATCTCGGGTTATAGCCCTTCCTTTCAAGCATAACTTAGAGGAGGACACCCAGCTTATCCACCACCTGTTTCTCAGTGTCACTGTCAGAAACAGAGCCTGGGCCTGCTGTCTCAGGCTCTGAATCAGGCCTCCTGGGGGTTCTTACAGCCCAGGGAGTTCTCAAAGGGACTGGTAGATTGGTTAGAGAGAGGGGTGTGTGTGTGTGTTTGAGGGGGCAGGGTAGGAACCCGATCAGAGGGAGTCTATGGCTGGTGGTCCTGGCAGTGGGATCAGGATTGCCTCTCAGCCTCTGTCCTCACAGAGCCAAAAGTCAGGGTGGGACGGAAGCAGGCCCAGCCAGGTGGCACTGCCTGGCTTGTGTCTATTCTAGGGTTGGCTCATATGCTAGCCTGAGGGACTCCCTTCCTGATAGAAGAGAGAGGTAGGAGACAGATGGAACCCAATTCTGGAGATCTGGACAGGGGAGTCCCTGTAACAGGGTGTGTGTGTGGTGTGTGTGTATGTGTGTATACACTCCACTCTCCTGGTGACCCCCCCCCCCCATTTTAAAAAGGAACATAAATAGTAGAGCCAGGCAAGTTGGCTTTTGGCACTTTCTAGACCAAGACCTTGGGAAAATTACTTGATGTTTTTGAGCCTCTGTTTCCTCATCTGGAAAATGGGGTAGTAATAATATTCAACACAGAGGATTATTATGATAATAATACAATACACTATGTAGTGCCTTCCACATGCTAGCCATTCAGTGAGAACTACAAAGAAGGTACCCAGAGTCTGAAGGATTGGCAGGGAAGAGAGTAGGGAGTTGGGCAGCCAGGCTCCCACCTTGGAGTGTGAATGTGAATGCCCAGTAGAGTCCTCTGAGAAACCAACTGCCCATTGCCAAGCCCGTTCAGCCAACCTTTATTGTACACCTACTATATTCAAGGCCTCTGGAGCCTGGAGATAGAAAGAGAAGCCCAGATTTCTATCTCAAAGAGTTCACTGTGTGGAAGACAGAAAGGAAACCAGATCATTGGGACAGAGACCAATATGCGCACCACTCAGCGTAAGTAGAAGGAAAAGAAAAGGCAGGAACAATAAGCTGTGGGGAAGCTGGTGAGGTCAATCTGGGCAGGCTTCAGAGGAAGTGAGATGCCACAGCTTCATCTAGATGGGGGAAATATATCTCAGATGGAAGGGACAGTAGAGGCCAAGGCATGGCCATTGCAAAACAATGTGTTGTGTTTATTGAAATCTACTAGTTCAGTATGGCTGGTATGAGCAAAAAGTGTGAGTGGGGAGGGGCTGGAGTATGGCTGGATATCACTAAAGGTCTTAAGTTACTCTCTAAGGAGTGTATGAGTTTTATCTTGTAGTCACTGGGGTCTTCTGCAAGAGTTTTGGTCATAGAAGTCATGGCCCACTAATCAGGGGTCAATACCTCCCTACCCCACCTCACCTCTGCCAGGAGCCCAGGCACTCTTGCCACAGGAGAGTGCTCCCACCTTAGCATCATATTGGCAGTGGTTTCATGGACAGAATATCAGAGGGGAAAGATGGGGAGATATTGCAGGATGATAGTGGGATGGGCAGGAGGGTACCACCATGGCGTTCCCTGTTACCTGGAACACCCCCTCCTCAGAGGGCCGCAGTGATTCCCACTCAGGAGAGTCCATGAACTGGTAAGGAAAGATGTAGTGCAGAAACTGCCCATCCTGGCTCACACGAACCCTGGCAAAGGGAGAAAAGAGACCATATGGGAAAAGGGGAATGGCTACCCAAATCTGCTTCAAAGTCCAAATGACATTTAAAAAATGGAAATCGATTAGGATCCAGTATGGGCTTTTTCCTCTTTCCCCCAGAAAACTCAGAGTTTTCGCTTCAACCTCTCTTCTAAAATGAGTTGTACCAGAGAAGGAGGTAGCTCTATCAGGCAAGGGCCGCAGATTAAAAAGATATCTAAGATTCATCCAGTCCATTTGGAGCTATTATTGTTCCATCTTTTCTGGAGCTTTATTGTATTAAACACAGTACTTCCTGTGTTCCTGGAGGTCTGGAAATGCAGAGATGTAATCCTTGCCTTTAAGGATTTCACTATTTAGTGCAAGTCACAGGCACATAAATAATTGGCTGCAAGTCAATGTATGCTATTGTGGAACAGACTAGAGGAAGGAGAGCAATTAGTTCTCTTCAAGTGGCAGAGTTCTCAAAGATAAATTTCAGCTGTTTTGAAAGATCAACAGGACATTGAGAAGAAAATCAGGATGGAGATGAATGGAAAGCTGGGAAATCCAGTGTGCAGTCTGCTTTCCAATGTCTACTTTTTCCCTTCCTCCATACTACTAGTTTCAGCTGGGTTCCTGGCTGCCCAGCTGGACTTCATTTCCCTATCTCCCTTGCAGCTAGGTAGAGCCATGTGATTAAGTTCTGGCCAATAGGATATTAATTAGTATTCCAAGTCTGGCTCCTAATGAATGCCTAGTTATATATGTATGCATACAAATCCCCAAAGATCATCATCAATTAAGAAGCTATTACATATTATCTGACAACCTAAAGATGGAAGACAGAAAGGAATGTAGATCTCAAGCCAAGCCAAGGATGTGGTATCAGCCCATAGTCTCTGATGGCAGAAACACACTTGTTCCTACAAGACAAGGTAATATATATATTTAGATAGCCAGGCAGAGCTTCCCTGAGTAACAAAATGATACAAGAGAAAATGAAGTGCCATGGTCTCCTAACTCATGGAGCACCTCCTTTGTTCCTGGAGGTTTAGAAATGCAGAGATGGGTCTAATGTGATCCTTACCTTTAAGGATTTCACAATTGAATGGAAGTCACGGGCACATAAATAACCAGCTGCATTGGCTTGTGTGCTATTGTGAAATAGAATATGTCTTCACTTATTCTGTTCCTTCTAGATGGACTTCTTCCGAAGCCCCACCTTCTCCTCAGGTCGCAGTTTAAACATTTCCTCTTCCAGGGAGCCTAGTCGGACATCCCCAGAAAAGTTAGATTCTACCGGTTACGCATTCTCATTGCACTTTGCATCTCTCCTTGGAAATATTGTGTCTGTTATTCACCACTATGTCACACATTAATTGTTGACTTTCTCAACAGATTGTAAGCTCCATGAATACAAGGACAATATTTTATATACAGAGGGTGCCAAAAAAATGTATACACTTTTAAGACAGAAAAAAAACTATTAAAATTGTAATACTCAATATATACCAATAAAAGATGAATAAAAGTCTCGTTTGACTTCTGCAATTACAAGAGGTGCTCAAAGTGGTTACCATTAGCGTAATTTTAATACATTTTTTTTCCTTTCTTAAAATGTGTATAGATTTCTTTGGCACCCTCTGTATTTTAACACTGGATCCGTAGTCTCTAGCACTCAATAAATATTTTTGGAGAGGGGAAGGAAGAAAGGAAGGAAAGGCAGGAGGGAGGGAGGGATGGAGGAAAGAAGGAACAAATGATTGAACAAGTTAACACTGTGTCACCATAAAAGGGGATCAAAATTTCAAGAATAAGCTTCTCAAATAAAGGAAGAAAAACAACTGGAGAGAATGAGGCTGCGGCAGCATACATCAGATCCTCGCATCATCTCCTGAACAAGGAATCTAGCCACTCAAGCAAGCCACCGAGGAGGGCCGTTTTAGTGTGAGTAACATCTGATGAGCCAGCATGGCTTCCTGAAGCCATTTAAATTGGTATACTATATCCTTTATCGTTTGAGTCTCTTCTTCCTTCTTGATCTCCTGTATGGGAAAGTAATTTCCTCCTATGTGAATAGCTTAGTTAGTTGCCTGCTCAGGAGGCTGTGCATGTGGGAATTCGTGCTTTGAATAATATATGAGAGAAACTGTCCAATAGTAAGCACAGCTTAACAGGGTGATAAACTTTGAGGAAATCACTTCCTGAGTCTTTATTAGAATAAAACAAAAAGGATATCTGAAGTTTCAGCAAAGGGCTCCAGATGAGAGTCTGCACACGAGGTGGAGGAGCTGCCCACGTTTTTGTCTACTGCTCCGAGGTGTTTGGTACCTCACTATAATGAGCCAAATGTACAACCATTCTTTAAAACTGGAGCCTGATCACAAATTAGAAGCTACAACTTAGCAAAGTTGAAACAGGATGACATTGAAAGGTAACAAAACAAAAACTCTTACTCCAAACCTTGAAAAGCAAGGAAAAAAATCAAAACAGTCTAATTTCTGACTCGGGTTTTTGATGCTAAGTATACTAAGAAAAGCCATGCCAAGGGCGCAAGCCTCCCTCTCCCTTTCACAGGGAAATGGTCTTATACAAGTTCATGGTAAATCTGTCATAGAAAAGATACCTGAACCATTCCATAATCAGAACATATTTCCATAAATGAGCACCATACAAGTGGAGTGGACATTTCTCCCACCAGTCTCAAGTCCCTCCTTTGAACAGAGGAACTACAAAGAGCAAGCAAATAATAGCATGGGTCTCATGAATGAGTACGTTTACTAAATTGTCTTTATTTTAAGCGTGGAACTGTAAGTGGCAAATGTGTTGGCAATAGTCATAATGTATGTGTATTTATACATGTTTTTGTTTACAAATAATTGCATTTGTTTACACTTCAATTCACTAATAATAAAATAAAATTTCTCCCCACAAAAACTCATAGCTTTTGCAACCCAGGACCTCTGAGTCCAAACAAAATAAAAATATGTATACATAGCACTTTCGACTCTGTACATTAATACATAAATGCAGTACCATCATCATGGTTAAACTCTTTTTTCCCCCACCATGTATTTGGTGGTCTTACCTGGTTTCATCCTTCCTCCCCTTCGAATCAGAGCATTCTGATTACTATCTTATTTTTTTCTATCACGTTCTTTCTCTTGGTCTCAGGAAAGCAGGGGAGAAAACGGAAGACAAAGCTTTAGAAATACTTTGCTTGCCTTGCACAGTCAGCCCAAATGCACCAGGTTAAGATGTTTACTGTTTGTTGCTCAGCCCCAACATCAAGTTCCTAAGGCCCTATTTCAAAGAATCCACAGTTGCCTACTGAATGTGTAGCACAGAGCCCCGTGGTATTGATTCAGGAGATACTGGCCAATGGCTAGCACTCCACGCAGGCTGACGGAGGATACGCTGATCCTGACTAAGACCATTTCTGCTTGTGTCTGACTGTCAGCCTTCTTAAAAAGAGTCAGCCAGGTGTCTCTACGAAATCTTCAGTGAGACATGTGTGGGCAACACTACTCTTCCCTCACTGTCTGGCCCTCAGATTTACAGTATCTGACTTCTTGGCCAGTAAGAAACTCAATAGAGCAACTGGGAATGGAAAAGTGACAAGGGGAATTCCCTCTCCATATCTGCATGTTTACAAAATGGCTTTACCACAGAGTCTGTACTGGATCTCCTCAACATCCCTGATGCCCTGGCATGGAACAAGGATTACAGGAAACCCCCTCTGTTTTGGCAATGGTCTCTGCACACAGTTGGCACTTAGCAAATGTTGAAAGCATATGGGAGGAACAAATTAATCTTACTGAAATGTTCAGTTTTTCAAAGCTTACAAAGCTATTGCTGCAACTTAGGCATGACACGCTGCTGTGTGTGTGTGTGTGTGTGTGTGTGTGTGTGTGTGTGTGTGTGTGTGTGGTCATTTCAGACCCAGGCTTGAGAAGTACTCACTTCACATTTCCCAGCCTCAAATGCACACACAGTCCTTCCTGCTAATGAAGAAGATGCGTCATGATCTAGTTTGCTGTGGGAAAGAAAGAGGAAGCAAACCCATGCTTAGAAAAATCCATTTGGTTTGTTTAATTTGCCACATCCTTCCCTCAGTGGGAGGAGACAGTAAATGGCAAGGCAATCACTGAGAAATGAGAAGCGTGGGCAGAGAAAGAAGTGCTGAGCAGTGAAGAGTAGCTTACCGGCCAGAGAGCAGCAGGGACAGGCGATTGATGGGCGTCTCGCCCTCCACGGCATAGGTCTGCTCAGTGGCCAGAGTCAAGACCTGCTCCTCGCAGCAGTGAACGATCTGCTTGTACGCCTGCAAGGGCACCTGCAGGGGCAGGCACAGCGTCCTGTAGAGGAGATCAAACTCCTCAGGGAGGGCGTCCTCGTGCAGGCGGTATACCAGATGAGCCAGCTGGAGCAGGCAGGCTGTTGCCAGCAGGAAACTCCAGAGGACAATGTCCAGGCCACAGGCATCGAACCAGCCCCACAGCACATAGCACAGGGAACCTGTGCCCAGAAAGCCAAAGAGGTAGAAACATCCATATACCCCACTGCCCCCCATGAAGCCCAGGAGCAAGAAGCAGTTCGCCAGATGGTAGACAGCGCCTTCCAGGTCCTGCTTCCAGCCAATGCACACAGGCCCCTGCAAGAGGAGCTGGCCCACCGAGCTGCTGTTGGCGTTCATCTTCAGGGCGCCTCAAAGCCTTGCTGGGCTCCAACACTATCCTCACATAGGAAATGCAGGAAATGGATTAGTCTGTCCTCCCAGGTGTCTTCTCACCTCCGGCTTCTCACCACAAACTCCACCTTTCCCGAGAGGAATGCTTCCTGTAGCTTTGGGAATGAATGGCAGAACATAGTATACACTTCATGGAGAACTTAAAAACTATTTTTCTTCTGTCCCTCAGTAAGGCTCTGGCACTCCCGGCAGAGCTCTGGCGAGCTTCCTTGCCTCCAGGATACTTAAGCCAGTCTTCACATTTGGCTCTTAGCAGAAAACTTAAATTGTCCTGAAGAAAGGATAGGACTATGCGCCTGAAAACGTCAGCAGGGAAGGATAATAAAGGGGCCACATCCTGCACTCTGTTGTCCCCAAACAGAATGAGGAGAGCTCAGCACGGGAGGCACACTTGTGTTCTATTTGGAATGCGTTTCTCTTGGCACCGGAAGAAAGGGTGACCCCAGATGGATACCATGTTTGGAATTGGAATCCAAGAGGTACTGCCAGTGAGAAAAAACAGGCCAGGCACACAGACAGGCTGGCAGAGCACTTAACATAGCTCCCCAGAGGACACGATAAGGCCTCAGGGCAAGAGAGGTAGGCAGGGGGGACAAAGGAAAAGTGAGCATAGAATTTACACCACCTCAGGACAAAACACTGTCCAGGGCTCCCCACGTGGAGGGCCAGGGGCTCTCCTCAGGTAGGAGGACACATCGAAGTAGGAAAGTATGGGACTATTATCAGAAAAAATCCTAACAGTGAGAACTGGCAAACCTCTCAAAGGACTTTATTAAATCACATTGTAAATATCATTAGGCATTTATTTGACATCCATTAAAAAAAAAAGCTATGCAAAGCAACTTTTTGAATTCTAAGCTGACATCCTCCTGCATATATCTGGATCTAGTAATAGTTAATGCAATGGTAATACATTGCTCAGACCATCACCCTACCCACCCTAATATTTGCAAAGTACAATAACTACTGCCTATTAAACTCTACGGAATGCCAGACCTATAGATAAATTAGGTACTTTACACATATATTATTTAGTCATTATAACAACGCTTCCAAATAAATATTATCTTCCTTCTAGATATGAAAGAAACTGGGGCATAGAGAGATAACAAGTTCCCACAGGTAGTGTAAGTGGCGGAGTTAGGATTTGAACCCAAGACTTACTGCTGTGCCCCAAGTAGTTTGCACAGTAAGTGGAAACACAGGACGAGATCCGGGACTCCCAACACCCCCTCCCCCGCTCCCTTCCCCAACACACACACACCACCGGAAGTATGATGACGTCCAAGGCACTTCTGGATGAACCTCGGGTCTACTTTGAGTCATGAAGAAATAAACCTGGAATATGCAAACATTAAACTAAGAAATGTCCCTCTCTCTTCCAAATGATTTCTTGACTTTTCTCCTTGCTGCTGGTTAGCTCTTACTACCATTACTCCTATTGCCCTGAGATACGGGAAGTGGGGGGCACCCAGTTATATTCCAGAACTATTCAACTGCTCAATCCATAGGGACTTTTATTGTACTGCTAATAACCTAACCATAATTTGTGAGAAGTTAGAATTTGTCAAATATGCTGAGAAGTTTTCAACTCAACAAATATTTATTGAGTTCTTATTATAAGCCAAGAACTTAGAGAACAAAGATTCCCAAGAGTTTTCCCTCTATCAAGGAAAAGATATGTCAAAAACCAAGGGCAATTCAGTGTGTGATCCATGACAACTGGGTTAAGTTTAAAGACAGGTGGCAGCCTAGAAGGAAGGGTGGCATAGAGGAAGATGTAAGTGCTAACATTTGATTCAAGGTGTAGGGATTGAATTCATTCACCAGGTAGGCAGAGGGAGAAGAGCATTTCTAAGTGGTGAGAGTAGCAGAAGTGAGGCACATGGCATGCTGAAGGAACCCAGATTCTTTCTTAAATTTAATTAAAATCAACAAATGTGCATCTTATCCCATCCTTTCTAAAGTTAAGAGGCAGGAGAAATCAGTGGTAAAGGAAAAGACCAAGGGACTGCCTAGAGAAGGACAGCCCCCTCCCTCTCCGCCTCCTTCACAGCAATGGTTTGGACCTGTGATGTCCTTTCAGAAGTGCAGTTTGGGGACTTCTATATGCTGCTTTTATCTCACCTGCCTGCCTCCCAGACAAACCACTCGCTTTAACAAGCAGCAGCTGCTCGTCTCTCTACCTTAGTCATGCACCCCTTGTGCTGCCAATGTAGCTGTCCCTGCCAGCTGCGAGCAAGGAAATCAGAAGCACAGGAACAGACAAGCAACCAAGGCTTACCCAAGATAGGATTTCAAAGCAGGTCATCTTTCTCAGCAAGCCTAAAGAACGGGCTGGCCCTGACCCTTTAAAGAGACAGGCAGACCCATTGACTACGGTTCTTAGCCCTTGTCAATCCACACATGTGCTTATCTGAGCAGAGTACTAACATTTATCAAGCAATTATTGTTTCCTCATGTTGTTCCATGATACCTTTTTTTAACGGAAGAAACAAGCTCAGAGAGGTAAAGGAACTTGCCCAAGGTTACAGAGCTAGTATGTGAATAAGGACTAAAGCCTAGGCCACTGTGGTTCTAAATTCTTTGTGCTGTACCACCTTGCTAGGTGCTTTCAGGAGTCCATATATATATATATATATATATATATATATATATATATATATATCCATATACAAGCTCATTTATTGCTACAGGGGATTTAAACAAGTTGCTGGGGTGGCATCATGGGTTCACAAACCCCATATGCTGTCTGCAGTGATAGTGACATTGATGCTTGTAGGATAGCTGTATCTGGTTTTTAAATCCAGGCTTGGTAGAAGAGGAAAGAAAAATCTGTGTCAAAATGGTATGTTCTTATAAAAAAAAAATCTGCAAACATGCAGGCAGAAGCACAGTAGAAAATATCTGGGGGAGAATAAAAGGAAAGAAACAGAGGTCTCATTTGTTGAGTCTATTCAACTGAATAAGCATTGATTTAGGGCAAAGTATGTGTTCCAAGAATAGGGGATATGAAGATGAGCAAGATGATTATCGCCTTCAAGGAACATTTCCCTAGTGAGGGAGGCTAACCCAGAAATAACTATTATCCAATAAAATAAGTATACTTGGGATTCAAAGGAAGCACTGATGGGGAAGCAAAGAATTCAAGAAAACATTTTAGGGAAAGTGACATTTAAGCTGCTCTAAAAAGATGAGTAGGTGTTTCCCAGCTAGGGGAGGGCATTCCAGAAAGGGAGAACAGAATGTGAAGGCAAGTCCAGAAGTAAAACAAAAATATATGGCATATTCTGGTAAGAGAACAGCTTGTTGTAGGTGAATCAAAGGGAGCAGTAGGACATGAGGCAGGAGAGGCGGGCTGGGGCCGGATTATGAAGTTATCTGGCTAAACAGTGCCTTGCTAAGTGTGGTCATGAATCACAGTGGTCTGTTACTGGTCTATGATGAGATAAGGGCAGAAATTAAGAGTATTTAGACATTTTTATAGCAATTTGACAGAGAAACTTACGGCCTTTGAATTTAACAAAAACTTTGGAGATATATATATATATATATATATATATATATATATATATATATAATTTCTTTTTCCTAGTATCTGTCTGTGAATTGGAAAAAAAATAAAGCTGGCTTTTCATCACATATAATTTGCTCTCCTACTATAGATATTAATATAGAACAGAGGCTCCAGGCACATACTGCCAAGTTAGCTTTAGGCAGACACTACTGGTTGCCTATCCTATAGCAACCTTTGTTTCCTTAGTTCATAGAACTCTGATTTTGCATTGGCAATATGTTAAAGAAGGTGGGCTTCTCCCCCTATTGCCAGGGCCTGAAATAAGGCTGGTCAAAACCAAGCACGAGATCCCATTCCTATTGATGGCAAAAAGTTTAAGGGTGGGCATGTGACCAATTAGATATGAGGAAGTGGGTGTGAGAGCTTCTGGGAAAAAGTATACTCCCTCATAGAGACAGTCAGGAGGTGCTACCTCTCATCCTGGCTTGAATACAGTTGTGTGATAATGTGGTGTTCGAAGCTACCATAGCCATGATACGATCTGCCTAAGGATGAGAAGGGAAAAGAACAGAAAAACAAAACCAGCCTCAGTTCTTGAAAGTTATCACTGAGCCACTGTTTCAAACCTGGAATTTCAACCTCCAGACTTCAAGACAGGAAATATATTTATTCCTTAAGCCACTGCATCTGGTATTTGCTACTTGCAGTTGAACGCATCCAGATTCAGATTTTCCTAAGAATCTCCCTTAAAGACTATTTTTCATAGAACAGTTCTCTGAACAAGAACAGTTGTCTTATTCTATAAAAACTGAACATCAGGCTACTTATTGTTTTACCAATAATTTTCTCTCAAAAGTTTGAGTAAACTATGAGAGAAATTGCTCCTCTAAACTCAAGATGACTTGGATGTTAAATGAACAAGATGGGTTAGTGGTAAACTGGTCACCTTGTAACAGAATTTTTCTTTTTTTTAAAGATTTTTACTGGGGAATCGGGGAAGGGAACATTGTGTTTTTCCAGGACCCATCAGCTCCAAGTCAAGTTGTTGTCCTTCAATTTTAGTTGTGGAGGGCGCAGCTCAGCTCCAAGTTCAGTTGCTGCTTTCAATCTAGTTGCAGGGGACTGGGGGGTGGGGGGGGGCACAGACCCCCATCCCATGTGGGAATCAAACAGGCAACTTTGTTGTTAAGAGCACGCGCTCTCACCAGCTGAGCCATCCGGCCACCCACTGGCAGCTCAGTTCAGGGGCAGCTCACTGGCCCATGTGGGAATTGAACCGGTGACCCTGTTGCTCAGAGCTCGCGCTCTAACCAACTGAGCAACCCTTCCAGCCTGAGAATTAGTTTTATCTAACTTACACATGGATCCGAGGGGGGATCCTGTTTAAGCCAATTAGCTTAAGACATTCTGCTGACAACTATTATTGGTCCACAAAAAATACATATAACCTAATTTGGCTCAATCAGGCTAAAAAAGAGAACTCATGCCTTGAGAATGGCTTTGCTTTTGCAGGACTTGGACAACATACATGATTGGCTTCATCAGTCCTGAAAGTAAGAGCTCTGAGATGAAAATAACTTGAGTCTTAGGTATCATAGTCACTAAACCTATGATATTATTGCACATAGAGCTTGCCATAATGCTGGACTTCCAGATACGTGAGTTTTCCTTGCTGAGGATTCTCTATTACTTGCTGTCAAAAGCTCCATAATCAACACAGATGGAACTATGGTCAAACAGTTTTTAATAGCTAAAGAAAGAAACACAGCATATAGTCATACATTCATAGCTCTGAGAATTCAACTTTATATTTTTATAGCTTATATACATATACCCACTAGACTATAAGCTATTTGACAGCAGGGTCCATGTCT